GGACGAGGAGGCGCGGGCCCGGGGCGGCTGCATCCGAGCGCACCAAGCGCAGCGTGCCCAGGCGGGCTGGGGCTGTTGCTTCCTAATTTCTCTCTCCGCTCCCTCTCTCTCTCTCTCTCTCTCTTGCTCTCTCTCTCTCTCTCTTTTTTAAGCCCCACCCTTCTGGAGTGACAGCTGTGAGCCCCAATCCACAAAGTAGGTCCCACCTTACTGGTTGCGGGGCGCCCAGCCTCCGTGTCGCCCTCTCTGTGTGCGCGAATGGGAGGGGGATGTTCAGAAGAGGAAATGGACACCCCGCCCACCCCCGGGAGCCCTCATGAGGACCAGCATGGAAGTCCACGTTCACAACAGGTGTCGAAAGGCCATCTGCCCAGCCTTCTCAAGACTCGGGCTGCAGGAGGTCTTCAAGCAAGGACAGCTCAGGAACCTAACATAAGCCCAAGTGTCCCCAGTGATCTCTTGAATGTAACCCTGGGTTCCCAAAATGATCCCCACATTTCTGTCCCTGGAAGAGTTAGTTCTATATTGGCTCCCCGCTGGCCTTTGGGCATCAGGGAATTGATCAGTTAGGGTAAGACATTGCATTCAGAAAGTAACAGGCATGGCTCTCCACTTCTCGAGTCTCTAAGACAAACTCACACCAAGATATCTAATTCCCATGCTAGGGTTCTGAGCTCAAGCTTTCCTCTCTGCTCTGCTGAGCCTCGGAAACAAGTAGATTCTATGGGGATTCAGAGAGGAAGCGCAGCCTCATTCCAACAGGTGAATTCACTTCTGCGGCTAAAAACGGATTGTATTAATTCTCTTGTTACAAAAGCAACTCATGGGAAGAAGGGCCTGTTGGGACTCCAGTTTGAGAATACAGATTGTGTTTTCAAAATACAGTCAGGGAAGGCGTGTGAGTTGGTTAGTTTTTTTTGTCCAGTTGACATAGAAAATGCTTCCATCAGAATGGCCCGTAGGCAAGCCTGTGGGTATTTTCTTGATTAATGATTGATGTGGGAGGGCCCACTGTGGGCAGTGCCAGCCCTGGGCAAATGGTCCTGGGTTGTATAAGACAGACAGACTACAAAAGCCATGGAGAGCAAGTCAGTAAGCAGCACCCCTCCATGGCTTCTCTGCAAGTTCCTGCCTCCAGGTTCCTGCCTTGACTTCCCTCCATGATGGATTTAAACTGTAAAATGAAGCAAACCATTTCCTCCCCAAATTGCCTTTGATGTGTGTTTTATCACAGCAACAGATGCCAAACTAGGACAATGTGGCAGTAGGGGCATGAGGCAGCTGGTCACATGGCATCTACAGTCAGGAAACAGAGATGGATGGATGCTAGTGCCCGGTTTGCATTCTCCTTTGCATTCCGTCCTGACCATCCCTGGAAACACCCACATTCAGGTAAAACTTTGTGGGAACACCCAGAGGTGTGTCTCCATGGTGACTCTAAACTTATGACAAGATTGACAATCCCAGGATTTACAGAATCTGGCCAATCCATGTCTGGGAAATACAAATATATATATATATATATATATATATATATATATATATATATATATATATATATATATATCCATCCCCTGGCTTTAAGCGTTTTCAGTTTCCTGACTTACAAGAAGATCAGAGGAGCCTGGCTGTTCTCACAAAGTCTGTCTGTGCATCCTTGTCTTTGGGATGCCAGCTTCTCCTTGGTTCTGTATGTTTTTCTTAATTTTTGTCTTTCTAGTGTTCTTTTGTTTAGTTCTTAAGTCTCTCTCTGTCTCTGTCTCTGTCTCTGTCTCTGTCTCTGTCTCTGTCTCTCTCTCTCTCTCTCTCTCTGTGTGTGTGTGTGTGT